TACTTCGGTGTCTGGCTCTAATTAGATCGTCGAGATTGAAACTGTTACTATAGAACAACTTTGCTGCTTTGGAATTAATTTCATTCGATTATATATAGTTGGAACGATCGAACGTTGCAGTGAAACAACAACGCGCGTTCGAGATCCGATCGAGGGGCCAAAAATATGTCGGAACACCGTCGGACTACTCGATAATAACACTCTTTTCGCTTTCTTTATTACTTGAGTGACGCTGAGAAGGATGAGGTCGTATTTCCGCGAGAAAAGAAATAACAATTATCTACATGAATGAGATTGTCTAATTGTTTAATAAATAATTTAAATAATTCTTAACGAAAAAAATTTTGAGTAATTTTCTAACGATAGCAATTTCGAATAATTTTTAACGATAACAGTATTGAATAATTCGTAACGAAAATAATATTAAATAAACTCACGGTAACGTAATGGTGCCAGGGATTAGATGACTGTAGTTAATCTATAGCAATTCCGTAATGCTTATATGCAATACAACAATTAACACGAAATGAAATAATTAAGTTCGATTCATTTTCGTGCACTTTAGATAAGGTTTTTAAAAAATGGCTCAAAATAACCAGGGATTCTTATTCCGACACATTCGTCAGATAGTACATTTTGATACTGTAAAAATATTTTTTGCAAAAAGTTGCAATCTTCAGAATTATTTAAGAACGTATGTAGCTATAATCGGTGAATAACTTAATACAGGGACATTCACTTGTACTAACATAAGATTTGAGGACAGTTATCGTACACATAAACAATTTTTCGATATAATACAACTGCAGATACGGTTAAATGAATACAAACTAATGGAATAACATCAACAATTATCAGTCAAACAAATGTCTTACGCTTGCTATACTATAAATACCAATACTTATACAGACACTATAAAGCGTCAGCAAGAACACATGAGTAAATTTTATATACACACATCGTAGCGTACCTTATGATGATTGAAACGACGTTTATTACCTCAACCAACCTTGACATAACCGTGACATAGCCATAACCTAACCTTGACCTAACCGTAACATGGCCATGACCTAATCCTGCCAACCTGATTTAACTCTGCTCTGCACTTTAGACAAGATTCAACAAAAACGGCTTAAAATGCCCTGGAGCTGTTATTTCCACATATTCGTCAAACAGTACATTTCGATATCATAAAAACTTTTCTTGCCATAGCCGGTCAACAGCTTTGTACGCAAACATTCACTTATAGAAGCACGAGATTTGATTATTCGATAAAAAAATGAAGAAGTATTTTTTTACGAAATCATATAATTTTTTTATGCAGATCGATGTGTATCTTTGTATTTTCTTTGGCGTATAAGCTCCGCAATGTGCAGCATCTCGATAGAGACAGAGACCGCACACGGTCGGTGACACCGTGACGCAAGATCCGTTCGCGATAGCGTAATATATTATTTCACCCGCGGAGACGCACGAATTTCCACGGTATCGGGTCCAGGTGCCGTGACACGAGGCCGCGAACGAGAATAAAAAAAAAATCGGCAGAAATCACTGGACCGCAACCTGCTCGGGCCACTTTCACCTGTGACGCACCGGCACCGGCACCGGCTGCAAGGCTGACCAGGTCGGTCTAACTTCGAAATAAGTGGCCAGAAGGAGAAAAGAAGGTCTAGCTGGTGAGAAACCAGCGGCGGGAAACTGGTATCAATTTTACTGGTCCGGCTGCTCCGCTTTGGAACGCAGCTTTTCGCTGCGCGAACCTCTGCGAACCATGTTTCCTGCCGTTTTTGGACTCGAAATCGAATTCAAAGTTGTGCAGAATCACAATTGAATTACTCAAGGAATTACAATTACAAAGCAATTCAATTGCATTGTATTTGATTTACACTCGTGATCAAAATAATTGGTGAATGAATGAACTCAAAGATTTGAACTACTTAATTGAATTACTATGTAATTCATTTGCAACGTAATAAGATTAATTAATGCAATTAATCAAACTTGAAACGCAACGATGTTCCATTTTGAAAAATCCTATTAGACTGCTCCGCTCCGAAAAACACAAACAAAAACAAACATTTATCATTGAAAATGGTTTTATTGTTTTTCAAAATAAAAATTGAATTAAACCAGTTTTCATAGCACTTTTTCCATTCCGATGTAGGTATGTACCCTCAAAACGTGTATTTTGAACGCATCAGAATACGCGCTTCTGGCGACGAAAATCGTTGACCACGTGCTTTATTAGGTGTCAAATCAGGGCTGTACGACGGATGAATTCAATGTTTTGACCGGTTAAATATTGAGCTGTTTGGACCGATGTGTGAGAGAGCTCGCATTGCATGATGAAGAATGATCCTGCGTCTCTGCTTGTTTTTTCTTGTTTCTCGGTTAAATATTCATGTAATATCTTATGTACGCTTGTCATACTAATGGCCAGGAATGCCTCAATCTCACGGTATGTCACATGACGGTCTTGTATTACCAAGTATTATGTTTCCTGGCACAACCGTCGATTTTGTACGACCTTCTTCAAATTCATCCGTGAGCAAACGACGGCCACGATTGAACTCACTAAACCAGCGAACTACAGTGCTTTTAGATGGTGCTTCATCGCCAAATGTCGTAGCGGGTTGATCTATACATTGTTGTTGCAATAATCCACGTCGAAAGTCGCAGCAAATCATCGCGCGAAAATTTTCACGAGTTAATTCCGTTATTTCGCCGAGTTGAAATTTTCAAGTCACTATAAATAATACAAATAGGGCACGTACGAAACGTTCTGTGAACACTATACCCTCACGAAAGATCAAACTTTACGACGAATATCTCAGATGGCGCCTAGCGACACCAGTGTTGCCAATTCCGGACGCATAAATAGCAACCCTCGTATTGGGTAACTTCAACCCTCTCTCGTCTCAAAAGCGCACGATCGTAAGTTGCTGTTGCAAGTCCTGCAACTTTAGTAGTAAATGTCTCATGACAGAATCATTTGCAAGCACTCCTCCACATTTGCTTATTACACGATCCTAAATCCGTATCAAAAATTCGTCGAATTAATCCTGAAACACCCTGTACATTGCATACTGGATAGAAGAGACTTTCGTTCGTGTCGATCTTTATCATTCGTACACCTTGAAAACGGATAAAGCGTTGAAACGGTACTCCTTGGAACAGCAAATTCCGCGGGCGTTCCGCGTCCGACTCCGCCCGCTCCGGACGGGAATAAAAGAGTCCCCTAATCGCAGCTCTCCGGAGAATAACGAAACTCGGAAGCATCCCCTTAAGTCGTTAAACGCGTGATAACAGCGCGGAAGTTGGAGCACGCCCGGAAACTGAGGAACACCGTAAATCAGTTGACCGTTCCGCGAGCGCGGCCAAGAGTTATTATCCTCTCGTAAGCAGTTCGCCGGACTGTTTAACTTTTCCCGATCCCTCTTTCTCTCTCTCTCTCTCTCTCTCTCTCTCTCTCTCTCTCTCTCTGTCTGTCTTTCGCTTATTGTCTCTCTTTCTCGAAAGGAAGCAGCAGGTGCATTCTCCTGCCTCCAGCCGTTCTCCTACAATAGTAACTCGATTCTCGATCAAGGCCCGATAAATTCGTCGAGATCGTTCACGAGCACCGCGATAAAGCCCCTAATATCTTTTAAACTCATTGGAAGCGTTCCAACCGGATCCCCAATCTTCACGAAATAGTCGGAATTTCGGGAATTCGGTAGCCTCGGGATTCAATTCGTCGATACACTGGATATTTCCTCGATTTCAATCGTCGTTAGCAGACTGTAGCTCTACATGCAAAATGACGCTTCCATCTTTTCTTTCGAAATTTCCATCGATTTTATGAGTGACATAAAAATCTCGTTCTCTCTTTCGTGCAAAGTAAAGCTTTGTAAAGTAAAACTGAAGAAAATAATACAAAGATGACCGTGCATTCTTTTAATATTTACATTGTTCGAAATGTTGGCCTGTCCATTTTTATTATAATCGCATGCAACCCCCGCAGTCCAATAATAACGAACGAATTTTTTGTTTCCTAATCTTTCCAGGCGATCTAAAATTTTGGAAAAAAATTCCTCGACGTAAAGGAAAAGTACAGCTACCACCTGGCTCTCGTTCGCCTCGAATACGTTGCAGAGTCACCGAGAAGAAACGACATGCAAAGTTAGGGGTTGATTTTCTGTCGTCCGCGAACGAGGCCAAACAAATTATGTAAATTGGTGTTCGAGGGATTATCCGGTGAATAGAAAAAGGTGAGACCGGTGTGCCGGGGCATTGTCCAGGTTGAAGGTGCCGGTGTCGGCCGTTTTCCGCGACGAAACGGTTTCCGCGTGCGGTCGATCGATCGCGTTTGAAAAAGCGCGAAAGAGGGTGGTTCTAAAATTGGGTTCCGCCGGCGAGAGAACGCATCGAGCCCCGATTACGCCGACGCAACAAAGGCGGCCGCGCATATCCCGGCGAATAATGACGTCAACGAGCAGGGGAACAATGTATCGGCGGGGACACAATATCGGGCAATTATTTTCGTCGCAGCTGCAACGTCCCGCGTCAAGGCGTCCCGGACTCCCGGCCCCGGATTAATTGCAGCCGCGCGGCTCACCCCCGCAACACTTTCCCTCTGTCTCTCTCACTTTCTCTCTCTCTCTCTCTCTCTCTCTCTCTCTCTCTCTCTCTCACTCTCTATCTGAGAACAACGCAGAATCATTCCCTTCCATTCCGACGACGGCTTGTTTTCAGAAATCACGCGGCTTTCCCGCGGAATGCCGCCTAGACGGAACAATGTCTGCTCGAAGACAAACGGAACCGAAGAACACACCGGTTCAGAGGCTTCGCGAGGACCGTTTATGCTCGTTTATGCTCGTTCGTGCTCGCTCGTGCTCGCTCGTGCTCGCTCGTGCTCGCTCGTCAGTGATGTGTCGCGTTTCTTTGTGCCGAGATTTAGTGCTCGACGGTCTTCGCTTGATCTTCCAGCTTGAAACGTGAAAGGTTTCAAGTGTGTTACTATTGACAAATAGTCGGACCTTTTTGTCTCCCAACAATCTACGATCGTTCCGATCGTCTAGGATCGAACGAGGATCATTTCGAAGCTGCGAAGTTGTCCCACAGTGATCGCTAGTCTGCGGAATTTTGTGCGAAATGAAAATCGTTTGCATTGGTCGCTGGAAGCAGGAACCAAAAATTCATTCTTTCGTGGATCACTTTAATAGATTAAAAATAAGACATTGTGATTTTTTAAGTCTTTCGATCTCTCTTCTGTTTTAAATTGCAATCGCCCGAGACTGTTATAAATTGCGATAACAGGTGAAGACTAAGGAATAAAATTATATTCGACACCATCGAATAAAATCGAGTAAAAATTGATCTGGATAAAAATGTATTCGAATACAGAATAGATTTTTGCTCCACTCTTACAGTTATACAGGGTGTTCCACAATTATTTTAACAGCCGAAAATGAGGGGTAGCTGAGGTCATTTGAAGTAACTTTTTCCTTTGCGAAAACGCGATCTGCGGCTTTGTTTACGAGTTATTAACGGAAAACACTGACCAATGGGAGATGACGGCGCGAAGTTCGAGAGCCCGCAGCACGAGGCTTTGACAGATGGTCGGGACGGACTCGAGCCGCGTTCGAAGTATTGAACAAATCACGAAGCGAGAACTTTCCGGATTTTTTTTTACTACGTAACAGTGATATTTTTAAGAAAAACTCTGTTCACCTTTACTTTAGAACGTCTGAAGAATATTTACTAATTTTTCGGGCCCGAAATAGTAAGTAATTTAACCGTGACGGCCGTTTTAATTTTCTAGTGGGCATGACACCTTGCGTGAAACATGAAATTTTTAAGCAAGGTGTACAGTGAAGGTGTACAGTGACCTTGACATAACCTTGACATATCAAGGTTTTGTCAAGGTTATTGATAATATTCTTCATATTTCTCTAACAAACATATCCCTTACATCCTTTAACACGATTATTATTTATTAAATTAGCTTTGCGAATCATTCGTTGAACTGTGTTCGGACACGGAATTATTTAAATTAAAATATCATGTACGTACTTTGTTAATCTTCACTGTACACCTTGCTTAAAAATTTCATATGTTACACACAAGGTGTCATGCACACTAGAAAATTAAAACGGCCGTCACGCTTAAATTACTTACTATTTCGGGTCCGAAAAATTAGTAAATATTCATCAGACGTTCTAAAGTAAAGGTGAACAGCGTTTTTCTTAAAAATATCACTGTTACGTAGTAAAAAAAAATCCGGAGAGTTCTCGCTTCGTGATTTGTTCAAAGCCTCTTGCTGCGGGTTCTCGAACTTCGCGCCGTCATCTCTCATTGGTCAGTGTTTTCCGTTAATAACTCGTAAACAAAGCCGCAGATCGCATTTTCGCAAAGGAAAAAGTTACTTCAAATGACCTCAGCTACCCCTCATTTTCGGCTGTTAAAATAATTGTGAAACACCCTGTATATACGATTGTACTGCCAATAATTATCACTAAAATTGTATAATTGTATTGTATATTAATTTTTGCTGTAGGTGCCGCGATTTTATAAAATTATCTTCGCTTCACACCTTTTCCGTTACATATTACTAAAATTGAAATAACTCGAATAGTAATCAAATTTTCGAGCTGACATTTTTACTACAGTTTTTGCACACGATGTAGAAAAGAATTGGTTATGGATTCTTCAATCGGATATTTTTCTCATAAAAAGAGAAAGATTTTCTTACTATTTAAAAAAAGTTGACAAAACAATAACATAATTCGACATAATATTCGAATCAGCGTACGAAATGCTATGAAAATGCGTATTTTCCAAATTTGATCTGGAAAATTACTGGCAGTTGCTTTTCGTCTGAACGCCCTTCCTTGATCGTCAACGAGAAATGATCCACGTTCTGCACGGTGTACGAAACTGAAATGAATCTTTCGTCAACGCGGACAAATAAATTCGGTGAAAATTCGGTGAAAAAAATCACGACGAAGTGGGGGATCGTGTATTTTTTTATCGACGCGGAGAGGGTGTACCGCGGGCCGATGAAAGGGAAATAGGTCGAAATTCTCGAGCAGGAATCGCGGGTATACAAGACGATAAATAAATCGAGGCCGGGGTGTTCATCACGCGTCGGGTTTTTCAATTCCGCGGACCGTTTCGGGAAGCCCGATACAGAACGCGGCAACGTATTTTATCAGTACTTTCGCCCCGATTCCCTACTTCGCGAGTCGCGGCGCACGGTTAACAGCCGATCGTTTTCCCGGCATTATCGGGAAGGGAAATCGCGACGGGGACACGGGCATTCCGCGTGTACCGGCCGATAAGACAGGATTTATCGTCGAACGACTCCGCGAACGATTGACCGGCTCGAAACAACCCCGCCGGCTTTTAAACCTGCAGCGGACTCGCGTGTCCTCGATAGTACGTACCGACTCAAATTTTACCTCCGTCACGAACCACAGTCTGCCGTCGAAGTCGACCGTGCATTAAATATTATTCATCGAATTTCTGACAATTCGTTTAAATATTCGCATATTTCTAGACGAACTAGTACGCCGAGAAAGAAATATAGTGATAGAAACTATAAATAAATCAAATTAATGGATAATTAAATCAGAATTATCTAAATTAATAGATTAAATAAATAGTGTGTCAATTTCTTTATAAGGAATTATTGCAGTCAAAGTTTAACAGATTAAAAATCGGAGAGACATGTGTGTAGCTCGCATGTGCAGCGATTTGGATACAAGCAAGCCTCTAAATCGAGCCCGATCGATTTTCAACAACAAAAACACTTTAGAACCCACCAGATGTTGGAAATCAACGGTACCGGTCTTCGGGTATTAGACAATCCCCGACGCCGGGGCACCGAATACTAATGACCTTTCATGTTGTCAGAATTAATCCTGACGACCCCGGGCTTGTCAAGCGCGGCAGTGACGGCTTCCGTGACACGAAACACGACACTAATGAGGTCTATGTGGGTCAAATAAAACTGAGATGTTGTCCTCAACAAATTCGACAAAGGGAAACTTAATAAGATGTTGCGAGAGACCGTGGACTACAAGGATGCTGTGTACTGATCCGACTGTCGCCAGGACGAATCTTTGCGTCTAACAGAGGTGAACGTCGAAAATCAGCTTTTGTTTTTAGCTATGAAATAACGTTATTTTATAATTATAAAATTATATCATAATTAACATACTGTTGTACAGCTGCAGGATTATTTGCAGATTTAAAAAAGAATATTCGAAGATTGCCAGGAGCAGTGTTTTGGCAGAAAAATTCGTTCGTATTATAGTAGCCTTTTCACGACGAATCGACGAATGTATCTCAACCAGAGTTGTGCCAATACGACTACATCGTAATTCGTAATTGATGCAATTCGATTACATTGTAATTCGTAATTAATGCAATTCAATTGCATCGTAATTTGTAATTAACGTTATTCAATTACCTGATAATTCGTAGGTAATGTAATTCAATTACTTATCATTTTATAATTGTACTCCAAATTACAATTACGAATTATATCATAACTGAATGGAAGGAAGATTTGAATTACGAATTACAATGCCACTGAACTGACAACTTAACCTTGACATAACCTTGTCAACTTCAATGCTTCTTCTCGATTTGCTAGGTCAACACTGCCGTCTAGGACCTTATTTTACTCATCGAGATTTAATGCGACCCTTTCCAGGACACTTCAAATTGTTAACGACAATTGCGACAAATTAGACACAAAATTCGAAACGCGTAAACTGTTCACCTAAACCCCTGATTCGCAGATTCTGTATTATATTAACATTAGCATTGTAATATTCTGTGAAAATCTTTCATTGTAAAAAAAAATGGGTTTTTACCCGCGTATATAAATGAATTAAATTCAATTAAATTTCGGCTTATTTATCTTGCCACGCTCGAGTTCCGAGCGAAATGTAATCGGCACATAAAAATGCGCGACGAAAGGCCACGAACGTAGCGGCCGCGGTAACGTTAGCAAAGTTGGCGGACATTTATTCGCTGGCGGGCTGCAAAAGTAACGGTCCCGGTTTTCCTTAAGATCGTATCGAGCCAGTAAAAGTTGATTGTCGATTATTACGCGAGTTTTTCGCGGGCGGGAAATCGGAAACGCGAGAGAGCAAGCTCAGTCTCCATTTACACGCGGCGAACGGTTCCCGGCGATGGTAATAGCTCGGCCGGAATATTACGCGACCTCGAAACGCAATATCTGGATCCGAAGTGCCGTTGAAATTCGCTAATCCGATTATCTTTCCAACTGTGACCGAGAGCCGACGCGTTCGGCGTCCCTCCACCCGTCTCCAGAACCAGGGAAACTTCGACGGCTCGTGAAACACGAAAATAAGTAGCGACGCCGTTCGGTTCCCGCTCGGATTGCTCCCATTGTTCCCTGACCTTTTTCAAACCTCCCGTTTCCCTCGAATCGGGCTCGCGGTTCTTTAACGCGAGCTCCCCGGCTTTCCTCGTTCAATCGAAAATCGAAAGGCGAGCGATGGCAAAGGTTGCATCCATCTCACGAGCGCCAACGCGATCCTCCTCGACATGAGGCTGCATCGCCCACGCTCTCTCGCTGGCTCGGTGACTACTTGATTTACGGGTCGCCTGACGCTTTTCACCCATCGGGACATCCGAATGAATCAAGAAAGATCAAGAAGCGACGATATTCTTGGCTTCTCGAAAATAGAGATTCAATCTTTCCACGGCTTTTCATATTTTCCGCGCGTGCCGAGCTTGTTTGGACTTGTCGGGCTATTCCAGAAAATCGTGCTCGCTCCGGTTTCTGTTGCTTTCAGGATAAAAGAGCCGATTACGGTAAATTCTTTCAAATTGTGCCTCAGCTTGTAAACAAGAATGGACAATTTGAAAAGAGGGTTATTCGAGTCTCGCGGATCATTTTTATAGTTACCGCCACCGAACACGACTTCAGCAATTTAAATTGTTAATCCAGATGACTGTGAAATGTCCTTACACAAGCTGCGGCAATAACTTTGATCACCTTGAATATCTCAGTTATTTTTTGGGATACGGAAAAACTTTGTTAATAAAAGTTGTATGGTTTGAAGGAGGTCGCAATGTGACGGTAATCATTTTTGTTCGGGTAGAGGAATTTTGAAGATTTTAGGGTTACGTTCATTTTTTTTAAATCGCATGCTATTCTTTTCTATTTCTAATAAAGTAGCGGGTATTTAGACGATTTCAACGACCTATAGCACAAGGTCAATCGATAACGAATAACAGGTTTAAACAGTAAGACTTACGTCGTAAAGGATGCTCGAAGCGATGTTCGTTTGCATCGATGCACTTTCTTATCACTTCCGTACTTGTCGCAGGACAAGCTTCAAGTAGTCTTTATTTCACATCTTGCAATATTACGTTCCTGAGATTAATGAGAAAACTTACGTTCAACAGTAATAAGAAATGTAAATATTTACATTTTTTACGATTACGAGAGAAAAAGAGAGAGAGAGACAGTATAAAGGAATACATCAAATCTACGTTATTACCGTGAATATACTTATCAATTAACTTACATTTATGTATCTTATTAACAAATACTCAGCACAAAACAATCGCTTCCTTCCTACAGAAACAACTGTTCGTTTAAATCCATTTATCCGAGCGCGAACTCTGGTTATTTGAACGAAAAGTTACAAGTAGCTAAAGATAATCAACGGACTCCCATTACATGAACCTACCCGATTCTACAAACTGATTGTTTACCGTCGAGTTCATCAAAATGTAGTTCTACTATAGATCAGAATTCGAAGCTGATCAGCTTCAGAACTGAAGAATCTGCGACGTGAAATCTTCGATAACACGTGAAATTGACGTACGCCACCAGTTGAGGGTTAATTAAAAAACCAACAAAAAAAGCAGATGTTTAGAAACAATTGACGAATAAGATCCAATCGGACACAAGCATCGGCGATTGTATAATAGCGAAAATCGTCTAAGAGAGCTTGCCCGTCGCACGAAAGCGAGAGGTTCGAGCCTAACGCAGCGGCCGGTGATAATTATAAACCGTCGCAGCGCGGCGCAGCTCCCGACAAAGGTACACCCTGCGGTCTATTTTGCGCCTAATGGAAGATTCTTTCGCCCTCGTCGCGGTACAACAGCGGATCGACGTACTTAACGGGACCCTGGTTCGCGTCTCCTCCGTCGAACGATTCGCGGCCGACCTGCTTCTCGGTATTTTTAAGTGCGGTGATAAATCACGTATGGCCTGGAGGCCGCCGCGGATGCACGATCGCCGTTCGAATTCCGCTGGAACAGACAGCTCGTATTTTCCTTGGATCGAGATCTTATCCGCGATCGAAATAATACGAAATAATATAAATCGAGACGCGAACATCTATACGATCGGCACCGTGGATCTCCGTTTCAGGTAGAACTATGCTAATGTTTTCGTTTGTTTATACCCAGTTTTAGGACTACTTTAAAGTTATTTACAAATGCGATGCTTTGGAATTATATTGAGAATATATTCCGCTATAAATGAAATTTATTTCAGTATTCTTTTACCAGAGAAAACGTTTTATATCCATCTTCAAACTTTTCTGGGCTAACTTTGCCCCCATCCCCCCCCCCCCATATTACTCGATTTACAGTGGACATTAACTCCTTGTCATACCATTTTCTTTACAATTGCAACGATTAGAACTTTTTCGATCGCAATAATTTCTTCGAAAAAGAAGGAACTTGATTTCGACTTCAAGAAACGGGAGAACATTCATACCTAACGGCTTATTACTAGAAATATGCGATATATACGATACGAAATATCGATAGAACTCCACCGTCATCGCCGTCATCGCCAATGGAAGGTTGGATCGCATTCGAATGTCTACGAATCCGAGACGAACCGGAAGTTTTCACCAATCGGAAGGACCTCGACGGAAGGGTTTCGCCACATCGGAGACGTGTTTACACTTGAACATCGACGAGGCCGAAAAGGATCCGGCGCCCGCGGGCTATTTATATGAATTTTCACGCTTCCCCGGACGTTTATGAACTAGCAGCACTTTGATCCGAACTGACGGTTCGGAACATCAGAAAGTAAACCGCAACGGCGCGGCGCGGGGCGACGCGCGACGTCGACGCGACGGGGAAGCGCGCACTCGCTCCCCCGAAAATACACGGTCCACCGCTACTTGTTCATAAATTAGCTTTTACGTTGTTTTACATAGTACGCAGTGACACGTACCCGGTGCCAAATTATTCGAGATGCACCTCGTAAAATCCTGTCCGATCTCTGGACTCCGACTTTGGAAACGGCCGGAGTCTATTTCCATCCGCGTCGCATGCCGCGGCTCCTTTCTGTCGGTGCGCGGCATTCGAACAATCGAATCGCGAATATATCCTGCTCGCTCTTGAAACCCGATATATAAATCTCGCGGGGAATCGAAATAAAAATCGTTACACAGAGTTAGGTGTATACAAAACTCGCGGGTTTTCGGCTCGCCATTGTTACGGCGACCGAACATTTTTCACCGAACTCGTTATTGCGGATGGAAGCTAATTAGCGAACATTTGCTCGCGGATTTTACGAAAAAATTTCATCCCTTCTGTTGCGGGTCGAGCGAACTGGGAAAACGGATACACATTTTCATGTTTCCTCTAGTCGTATGCAGCAATTCATGACGATACGGTAATTTCTCTCACATTGTCCCTCAGCTTGTCCCTCAGGGAATGAAAATGGACGACTTGGGAAGAGGAGATACGATTATTGGAGCCTCGCGGGTAGTTTTTATAGTTATGACCGCGGATCGTTATGTGAAATGAAAGATATAATTTACCTGAAAATGTGTTTTCTCTTTTAATAACTGCAATAAATCGAGAACAATGTGAGAATATCCCGAAATTCTTCGAATGTCTGCACAGTTTTGTGTTTAACCTGTTTATTTTTGTCATAAATGCATAAAATCCGCGGTCCGCTCTATTCTAAGGAATAAATAATTCCTTATTTATTCGAAATACACGCAAGATCTAACACAAACTTGATCATAAAACGCTTGCTCGCAAAATTTCAAGAACAGACCCAAAAGCGATTTTAGAGGACGCTGTATTTCTGAATCCAGAAAGGTCGCTGCGAATCCAGTTCGAGGCAACGGCGGTCTCTGTGTGCGTATAAACGTATTATAAATGAGCAGCATGCGGTCGTGAACGGTTCGCGCGCAAATCGTTGCCCGTGTCATGTCCAGGAAATGGCCAGGGGCCACTTTTTCCCGCGGTTCGTCGTCGCCACGCGCCAAATCAAGCACCTACATATATATTCGCGTCCCGAAGCGGATCACGCCACACGGAGTTGCGACATTTTTCCCGCGTTCCCGTTAACGGATCCAATTCTCGGGCCGGTATTCGAGGCACGATGATTGATTCGCGACCGTCGCT